GGAGGATAGGTGTGACGTGGGTGTACCTAGGTACACCCGCAATCGCTTGCGCAGCTGTGTTCTGGACTAACTGGAGTCTTCGGACACTCTTCAAGGGCAGCCCAATGTAGAGCGCGTTACAGTAATCCAGTCTTGAGGTGATGAGAGCCTGAGTGACTATCCGAAGGGCCTCCCAGTCCAGATAGGATCGCAATTGGTGCACTAGGCGAACCTGGGCAAAGGCCCCCCTGGTCACAGCCGACAAATGATGTTCTAGCGTCAGCTGTGGATCCAGGAGGACTCCCAAATTGCGGACCCTCTCTGAGGGGCATATAATTTCATCCCCCCAGACTGAAAGATGGAATAGCTGGACCATATTGAGGAGGAATTTCTGAAGGCAGTTCTCGATATACAACCACAATTAAGCCCAAAGTTTCTGCTGTGAACACAAGTGAAACATTTGTTAAGTGAGTTTTGCCCCATTTTACAACCTTCCTTACCTCAGCTGTTAAGTGAATCACTGCAGTTGATGAGTTGGTAACTTGGTTCTTAAGTGAATCGGCTTCCCCATTGTCTTTGCTTGTCAGAAGATGGCAAAAGAAGATCACATGACCTTGAGGCGCAGTAACTGCCATAAATATGAACCCATTGCCAAGCATCTGAATTTTGATCATGTGATCAAGGGGATGCCGCAATGGTCCTAAATGTAAAAACGGTCATAAGTCACTTGTTTCAGTGCCGTTGTAACTTTAAATGGTTACTAAATGGACTATTGTAAGTCGAGGACTACGTATAGATGAATCAGAAGTTAAGAACTGAAGATGGGTCACTGAGGGTTGTCTGAAGGTCAATAACTGTGATAGCGAACCTATGGCATGCGTGCCACAGGTGGCACGTGGAGGCATTTGTCAGGGCATGTGAGGCATTGCCCTGTCAGCTGGCCAGTGCGCACGCATGCGCTGGCCAGCTGACTTCGTCCTTCTTTTGAGGCCATTTTTTTCTTTTGGAGGCTGAAGCCGCCGGAGCGCGAAAAACCGGCCCTATGGGTAAACCAGAAGTTGGGGAATGTATTTCCAGTTTGCTCATAGGGCCGGTTTTAGCCCCCCAGAGCCTTCAGGAGGCTTCCCTGAAGGCTCCGGAGGGCAAAAAATGACTTCCGGGTTGCTTGTAGGGCCGGTTTTAGCTGTCCGGAGCATTCAGGGGCCTTCCGGAGGCTTCCCAGGCTCCTATAAAGCCTCTGGAGGGCGAGAAAACATGCCAAAAATGGTGGTGTTGGTTGTCCGCGCATGTGTGCTTGGGTTGTGCGCATACCATTATGGGTGTGGCACACCCGCACACGACCCCCCTACACTCTCCCCCTGCTTTTGGCACATGAGCCAAAAAAGATTCGCCATCACTAGTCTAGAAACGTCTGGCTTATATGTCTACCTTGTGACCATCTTGGGGAACAGCTGCTATTGAGAGTCTGGTTGTAGATTTGGTGACTGGCAGAGTTTAATAATTTTTGCTCTGAGGAAAATGGTGCATGGAGTGTTTGCTATGAAGAAATGGGTGATAGATGAAAAAGACTGGAAGGAGAATGTTGAAAATACCAGGAAATTCATTTCTGTAGGCTCTTTTTAATCAGACCCCATTCTTTTTCCCCCGATTGAAATGTTGTGAATCTTGATACATTATATTAGTTCAATTCAGATGTCAATACAGTAATTTTTATACAATATAATTATAAATTATAATGCAATGCCATATAAACAATACAGTTAAAAGACGAACAGGGGTACCACTGTTTGTCTTTTAATTGTATTGTTTAACTTATTGAAAGGGACTAATTGTTTTAAGTTTCTTAAACGATAAGTTCTCGCTCGATCCTGTAAGTTTTTTTGCCGTTTGGCTAGACTTAAATGCAAGATTGTCTGTGAAAATGTGAAGGTTACATTTTATTCCAAATATATTCCACACTTGGTGTATTCGGAATTGTTCCAAAAAATCCTGCAACATAACAAACTGAAAGCTTTCACATGCCAATGGCTCACATAGTAACATAAAAACATCACTGTTCATTTTTTAACTGTATTGTTTAAATTATTACCCAATTGGGACCAATTTTTTTAAACAATGTAATCTATGCCTATAAAAGCCAAATACCGCTCACTCAACACGAAATCTCCAGAACTGTAAAGCCTATAAACTTGAAATTCGGCACGTATGTTCCTCGTGGCTTCTAGGTGCTCACTAAGAAAGGATTTTTCAAAATGACCATCAGATCATCAGTATTTCTTATATTATTATTAGCACACTCTGATGCTAAGGAGTTAGACATTCTACTACCCCTCCCCACCTGAAAGGAAGTCTGTC